TTTTCAGACCTGCCCATATCTCATTGTATATTCATGTGTATTGTAGGTGGTGATAATAATTATATTGTACTATAACTACAGAAGCTTTGCGATGCCCGTGCAGTGTTCTATCAACTTAGTTATGAAGCCAAAACTATRTTGGCTAGCGGCATTTTTTTACTGGCCGAACCCATCTATTCTGAGGAACACATGTGATGAAATGATTGTTCCAAGTGCGGTGAATAAATGGATGATCGTCGCAGTGTAGATAATAATCTAATCGATTATAAATAAATGTATGGATCACCCGAAAAAAATGATCGCTGGCCAACAYAGTTGGCTTTACCGGCATCGCAGAGGTCATGGGTTCGATTCCCGTTGAAGCCGGAAATTTCGAAGAACGCCCTTAYGCTGTGGTATACGGCCACTGGGGAAGACACGATGATGATAATAAAAAGGGGTGTAAACACCTCGTTTTTCCTCTCCCCAGGCCCCTCTAAGGACCGTGGATACTCAGGTTACCTGGTCTCCGTCAACTCCGGAAAAAACCCGAGGCTGTATGTCTTGAGCATGCKACTAAATCTCTCGCCACATCCGTAGTTGACCCGATCACAAGGAGTAATTACAAACGATTTAACGCTGTTACTAGAAACCACCTTTTCCCAGGGCCTTGGGTCACATTTCGTTCCCACCTATTGTCTTTAAGACTATATCTTGCACTGTGTATGTAAATCTATCTCTTGATGATGTCGGTTGATGTAATTAAACTTTCTGAAGCAAAAGCAGTGTTCATGATAGACTCATTGAAGCTTCAGAGAATTCAGTTTAATAAAGTTTATTTATTATCAAAGTTGATTTCATGGACTAACTGCTCAAAACCTCTACTGTAGTGGTCAAAACCATCAACATTACCCAGAAAGTAGTATTACAGACATTACATAGACATCGCTATAAAAAAAGCTATCTAAAAAGTCGCCTACCAAATTGTATTGATTGTTTTCAACCATTCCCATGAGATTCAAAAGATAAAAGACCGGTGGCCATGTTGGAGGAATAAACAATAGATACYAATGAAAAATCCTTTGTTGAAGTTTTTCCAAGATGGCCGCTTTGACGTAAAGTGAAAACGAAGAATACGATACAAAGTGTTAATAATACAAGATWAGGTCTGTTGTGATATAGAGGTGCCTTTACTTTGTCCATAACAGAGAGGTTTCAGTGAGGTTCCATTTTTGTCCGGGTGGCTTCAGTCACGGCATTTGGGCAAATCGTTAGGGAATGGAAGAAAGCACCAAATTTGTTACTTTTAATTGTTTTRGCGCAAAAAATGGATTGGWCAAGGTTTGGGTCTTTTGGTCCATAAATAGCTTTTATTTATATATTAGGCTGATTTGACCCCTCCCTCTCTGGTACTGGACCCCCCTGACCTCAGATGTCGTGGCTACTCTTCTGAAATAAYTTTTACACCAAAAAACATCTCTGCCAAAATTAGTGTTTTCTTCCACTTCGTAACGWTGTTGRCCCTAGCTATCTCACTATATTACRTGCAGCAGTCAGCAGTTCGGTTGTCTAAGCATACATTGCCATGGTCCACTCACTGACCGCATTGACTGCAGGCTTCTTTACAGTCAAGATAAAGTTCTTGGAATCATGGGTAAATTGCAACTCCTTGTTTTGTCCACCTTAAAACGACAAAAATATATCCATCATAACGTCCTAGCTGTGATCGCTGTCAT